ACTTCACATATCATTTTAATATGCCAATAAACCAAATTATACTGTGCTATCTGAACTGACCAGCACACTCCCTTTCTATAACATGGTCATAATGCTGGTTACAGTATAGGTCAGGGGTAGGCAACCCAAAACACTTAAAGAGCCACTTGGACCCGTTTCCCACCAAAAACAAAACACTGGGAGCCGCAAAACCCTTTTGATATCTAAAATGAAGATACTGCATATATCCTTTTTTACCTTTATTATAGGTGTGTGTATGTGTGTGTGTGTGTGTGTATGTGTATGTGTATATGTGTATATGTGTATATATATACACACACACACACACACACGCACACACACAGACACATAGACACATATACACATTAAAAATAAAAGTAAAAATATGACTCTTGGGAATATCCATACTATTAAAACAATGATCACCAAGAGAATGCTTTAAGAGAATAAAATTACATACACACATAGGTAAAAAAAGGATATATGCAGTGTTATCTTCATTTTAGATGTCAAAAGGGTCTCTCCTTCCCTCCCTCTCTATCTGCCCTTGGTCTGCCACTCCTCTTCCCCCACTCTCTCTCTCTCCCTCTCTCTCTCTTTCTCTCTCTCTCTTTCTCCCCCCCCCCCTCCTATCTGCTGCTCACCTGGCAAGCTTCAAGCTGTGGTCCAACCTCCGGGGTAGGCAACCTCGTCTCTTTTATGACTCATGGACTTCAACTCCCAGAATTCCTGAGTCAGCCTAGCTGGGCTAGCTAGCTCTCTCCTGCCCTTCCTGCTTCCTGCAGAGACGCAGCAAAGGGAGGAGCTCCGCCCAGTAAGCTTTTCAGCTCCTCGGAGAACACTGTGAGTGCACTCTCTTTTACACATACACACATACACACAAAACACACACACACACACACATACACACACACACCCAGACACACACAGAGAGAGAGAGACAGAGAAGCAGGGAAGTGCAATTGCCTCTCTCTGTCTCTCTCTGCAAAGGCAGAGGAGGCTGGGAGCCCCAGGGGAAGGCTCAAAGAGCCATATGCGGCTCCGGAGCCGCAGGTTGCCGACCTGTGGTATAGGTCTTATGCAAGAATTATACTGTGAGCACTATTCTTATTAATTCTATTAATAACCTTGTGTTTTCTTTGCATATCTATAAATCTCAGAATGATTTTTGACTGAAATTATTGTTGATAAAGCAATGGAAAATAAGCAAAGTAATAAAATAAGAACAAGTTATTTTTATAATTGTTTGAAAAGCAAAGAAAAGAGATGAGGCAAGGGCTATGCTTTTCCATTTTTATTTGCTTTTGACTGACATATTTTCTTAATTTTTTGAAGGAGTTTTCTCTCTTCTCCAGTTGGAAAAGAAGCCAACTGAATTAAGTAGACCAATCAGGATTAAACAGAGGAGGCAGAATGAATTTATTATTTCCTTTTAGAAATGGGTTTTTGATTATATTTATACAGCATCACCATGGATTTAATTTTAGGCAAGATGAAATAATTTTCTGTTTTGGCTTTTGACCTCCTCAATTTATGGGAAAGCTATGATTTCTTTAAGCCTAGTTCTTGAAATAAAAATCAGTAGATTTAAGTTTTTTTATATAAAAGTGGTAATGTAAAATACTACTTATGGACTGAGCTTTGATTTTCCATTTCCCCTAGAAAGTATTTATTTTTAATTTTATTTGTCTAAACTCTCTTGAAGGAAATAGTTTTGTCAACTACATTACTAAATTTTGGAGAATATTCTGAAACCTGCCCTCCTTTTTATATAAACCTTTGTTTATAAATTTCAGCAGTTGAGGTCACTAAACATGCTGGGTTAAGCCCAAAGAGATCATATACTGGTTTAGTTGGATATGCAGACCAGTTCTTGAATGGAATTTTCTCTGTAGGATGCCAAATTAGTTTGAGCATCAAGCTATTTTGGTGCTTGGGGAAAGAATGTTTGTTTGTCCTCTGTGAACATGTTTTGGGCTAGTCGTCCCTGAAACTGTTTATGAGGAAATTAACCAAATGTCTCTTCCAATTTACCAGTGGATGCACATTTCCTTATCACATTTTAGTGTCAAAACATCCTGGAATATAGTGGAAATAAAAAATTTAGAAAAGCATGAAGTCATCAAGTTTTATTATATGTCTTGTGTTGAATTATAATAATGTTTGCAAAATTTGCTTTATGGAGCAGCCAAAACTCAACCCATAAACTCTGCAGATGTATTCCCAACTGCAATACTCTGCTTGTACGTGCTTGCTTTGTCCATATTTTTTTTTTACAAATGCTTAGTCAAACATAAATAGTGATATCAGTATTTCCCAGAAAGGAATAGACATTATACAAGGAGAACCATGTTGTCAAAAACCACTTATATTTGCTGAGACCTGAGATTGTCTGAAATCTTTTAATGTATGTGACACATTCACCAATTTTTCACTCAGTGGTGCTGTTTAATTCACAATAATAATCTTATTTCACCCAAAATCTTCCACTTTGAAGTCTGCTTTGAAGTGTTCCTGAGGGGGTTGAAATTCGTTCATATTACTTTGTTCTTCTTTTGAGTCCGGATGCCAAGCTTCTGTTAATTCCATTAATATACAATGCTACATATTACATTGTATACAAGTGGACATCATCTGCTAGTAATCCCCCTCTGGTTTCTACAAAGGACAAATGGAACGAACTTTGCACAAAAGAATTAATAAACATAAATTGGGGTAGATTTTAACATATCACAATTGTTAATTCTTAAGGGGTTTGTAATGTATCTTGCTTATAACTTACATCAGCATAGTCAATTTCTCTTCCCCTCCTTTTCCCCTCATACTTCATCCCAATATAAATTTTACATTGGTTTAGCCACTCCATTCATCTGATAAAACATGCTACAGCTCCCAAAAGCATATGGCTTTTAATAAAGTCTGTTAACCAGAAAAGATGCTGATTTTTTTTTTTTTGCCAGAGAGGAATAAAACAGAGTAATGATCCAGGAAGGTCTAAAATATTAGTATTAATATTAGTATTAGTATAATGTTTCTCATCCAAGAACATTCTTAAGAACTAAAGAAGCAAAACATTTTCAAGGGGGAAAAAAATACCAAGGCAGTCCAGCTGCCTTTTGGAAAAACACCTTTGGGACAACCATGCCCTGAATGATTGAGAATCTCCATTGACCAAAGGAGCAGATGGAGCTTCCTATTGATGCTGTTAAGATCACTGCCTCTTGAGATATTATTCAGAAATGTACCACACCACTTTTTCCTTCTATTCTAAAGTATGGTGCCATTTAAAGATTTAGTAGCATAGGAGTTTCTGAATTCTTTTTTAAAAAGGAATTATGGATTTGGCAATAAGACAATGATCACAAAGGAGACTATTATAACAACAATAAAATATATAATAGACCAAATATCAATAAAAACTTGAAATAACTAATTGGCTTGTAAAAGGGATCAAATAGAGGTAAAAACCATTGTCCAAAAAATAGCATCAAAATTGTTGTCTTCCTACTCTAATTTTCCCTGAAAAATAATAATAGACCAAGATGTGAACAAGTAGTCCATTCCCTTCCCTACCTCCTCCTTTTACACCTGTTGCTACAATATCTAAATCCAGATAATAATTCTGCTTATTAAGAAAGACAGGCTTTATAAACTGAGGGTTCCTGTTGACTTCTATATTCTGGCTTGTTTACAGTGGGCTTCCATGGTTGGTGTCAATCAAGCAGTGATGAGCTTTCAGACTAAATAATCAGGGTGCAGTTTTCTGATGTTCTGACATTTCATCGGGAGTTTTGGCTGCCACCTTCAGAGGCAGAGCGCAATTCTTATAGTTAAATTTGTTTTGTGAAAAAGCTACCCCTACAGTGAGCAAGGCCTGCTGTTTTTCTTTCTTAATATGAACAGTAGCTCATGACACAAATGTTTCCCCTAACATCATATGCAAAGCCATGCAGAGTCATGCTCTTCAGACCTTGTCAAACAACTAAAATAACCCAGTGGAAATAACTCTGGAACTCAACAGGCACAAACTGTCAATAGGGCATTGTAGTTGGGGCTTCTGCGGAGGTCACAAATAGACCAAGGGAGTCAGGATGCTTAGTTGTAGCCTTACACCTTGTCCTCTATATGAGTCTATGCGAGTCATCTCATGTGTCTGTTCAGGAGCAGTTCTCTCTTCCTGGGATATTGAATCATGAATGTTAATTCAAAAACTATGCATGAAGTATTGGAATGTTTCTTTGATAGTGATTCTATTTTTAATGATTAAACACTTCATAGTCGTGCTTATCCTAGGCAAAGTCTGAATGGCCATTTTTGGCTTCTGAAGTACACTGGTTACAAAAAGTGATAGAGAAGCTAGACACTCATGTTTTTGTTATTGGTAAAAGCATATACATATATACATATACATACATACATATACAGTCATATACATATACATACATATACATATATGTCTTTTAAAATGCTAAAAATGCGAATCCTGGGCATCATGTTAACCGAATAAGAAAGAAAAACGAACACCAGGATATAATAAACCAAACTGCTTAATATAAACAAGCCTGTGGTTAAAAAGAGTCACTAAGCTTTCGTCAGGCCAAACTCCCGACATCATCAGAGTTGAAGTAAAAGGAGATCAGGAAGGCAATTCATATAACCTCCTGCCCGGCTTTTTGAGCGCGTCATTGGCCCGTTGAGTGTCTTACTCCATACCGTGCAGAGTTGTTCCACATCAGGCAAACTGTCCTTGGCTCCGCTAGTTGTTTTACGATCCTCAAGTGCTCTTTTAGAGTGTGTGCAAGCACTTGGAGGGTGGCTGTCAACTGGTCCCTGCACCCAGTCTCCATCCCTCCCAGGGCCATTATCCTCCCCCACCCCCAAGGCCATTGTTGTCTCCCCCGTAATTCCTCCACCCCAGTCCTGCAAAAAGCAGCTGTTCTGGCATTCCTGCTCTGCGTCTTCCCCCTCCCTCCCCCTCCTTCCAGATCACCTCTGCCCATTCATCCCTGGCTTAGGGCCATTTGGTCCATCATCTCCGCCCATGGGAGTCGTGGTCACCTCACCTGTAGAGCCATCGTCCCAGTTATGCAAGATGCTGTCCCATTGTTTCAGTCTCTGGTTTTTCCCTTTAATAATCGTCCTCCTTAGGGATCGTGCCCATCTCATCCATCATTCTACCACCCTAATCCTGCGAAGGAAGAATTGAGTGTCTTTTCAGAAGACCGTGGTGTTGTCTTTCCCATCCCCTAAGAGTCTGATAAGCCGACAAAAGATCTATATGCCAGTTGATGGAATTTTCATCAGAAAGCCAGGCTTCCTTGAGTAGGCGGCCACCCTTGGTAGTCTCACGAGCTATAACCTCTGCATTAGCTAGATCGAACGTGTGGCCAAAGCTGGACATATGGGCCCACACTTGTGAGCGTTGTTGCTCCTGCCTTCTAATAGCCAGTTCATGTTCATGTACCCTGGTCCTCAGCCTTTTAGTAGTTTCCCCAATGTAATTGCTCGCACAGTCCTTGCAATTGATTCTGTAAACTACAGACAATCTTTGACCATTGGGGAGCGGCTCTTTTGGATTCATGATCTTGGACCTTAGTGTCTGCTTGGGCCTATGGGCAACGCTCACATTGTAGGGGGCCAACAGCCGTGCCGTGGCCTCAGAGACACCATGGATGTAAGGGAGGGTTGTCCGTGTGGCCGGCGTTGCTGTCACATTGGAGCGTGAGTCCCTATGATTCCGATGTGGTCTACTATGCTGTCTCACAAACCCCATGGGATAGCCATTGCGCCTAAAGATGTGATGGAGATGTTTTTTCTCCTCAACTTTGGCTCTGCCTGTGCTACAGTGGGAATTGACCCGTTTAAATAGCGTCATTGGCCTTGATACGTTGGATGGTAGGCTCAATTGCCCGTGCATCCATTAGGTGACATTTGGGTGAGAAAGAGCATGGCTGGGTTCACATTAATTTATGACTTTTTAAGAAAGCATTTTTTTCTTTTTTCTTGATACATCATGTTATTTCAATACAGTGTTACTTATTTGGTGTAATTACATTTTTGATATTCTGTTATTTAGTTACCTCAAAGTATTGGAAATAAAGAAGAACAAAAGTATATATTCTATCAATATTAATTACAATTTATGTTGTTATATTATGAACATTATAATTTTTAATACAAATTTAAATATAGCAGAGATAAACAGAGATAACCAGCTGTGACATACATTGGGATATTTGTTATGTAATAAAGATTTCAGAAGCTAAATTACTTGATATTGAAATCTCCATTGTATTGTTTCTTGGTATATTTGTTGGCATGTATAAATCTGCATGTATTGTTTGCCCAACATCAAACAATATGATCATTTATCATAGTATGGGAACCAGACTGTATGTGTTCCTAGCCTGTATTAAATCATAATGTAAGTTGGTTTGTTTAGTTTGATGTTTGGAATTTAAGCTTCATGTGTCTGGAATGAAAAAGAGAAACAGAATTTAAAGTCATAGGTTTGGAAAGAGTGAAATGCATCAAAATTTTCCAACCTCCGCAATTAAAAGATTCCCAAGATAAACCTAAAAACTATTAACTCTGATGGACGAATGTCTGATATCACAGGTTATATTAAAGTAAATTACTCTTGGTTATCATTCCTTTAATTCCATAAATTACACATCTTGAGATTAGTTTTAGGCTATGTATCAAGACACACATTTTTTTAGGTGATCTCTTAGATCTTGTAGGACAATGTGTCTGTCTGAAAAGATTGCTTCAGCTGCTGAAAGTTTGTACAGTACTGCAGCTCCAGCAGGCGTGAACACTGTGATTCTCATTTAACCCAAAACTTGCACAATAGCAGCCGGGCAAAACTGAGGTCAGATCAGCAAAAATAGCTCACGGTGCAAGTGGAGAGTGAGTCAGGATAGAAGCAGCAGGGGCCAGAGTTAGGAATTTCATTGGAGTTATTTTGTCTGTAGCAAAAGCAGTTGCCCAGTGTTAGAGATCAGCTGCCCAGAGTTGAAGATAAATGCCCAGTTGAAGTCAATTCCTAGTGACACATTCACAACTGATGAAGTATGCTACTAGCATGCAGAACTCTGAAACTAACCTTTTTCTTATGCTGTCACAGACAAGATAAATGGTCACCAGCTCCTGGGCCATAGATGTCCCACTCTGCACAGTTCAATTATGTGAACTGATTAGATAAGGACTCCCCAGATAGCTCAGACAAAGATAAGCCACCCAATTTTAAATTTAATATAGGTTACATAATTGATTCATGGATAGTCGCTTGCCCCCAAAGCCTTATTAAAGAGTCACTATAGATCATTTGTTCTGAAATAGTGTTATTGCTGCTAGGTTAACCTTGATTAGATTTACAATATTAGGTCACTGATACACTTTTTTTATATGTGAGCTGGTCTCTCCTGATATGTTTCCTCAATATATAGCTTGATCAATATTATTTCATAAAGTCAGAATTTAATGAAAAATTAAGCTGAATGATTTTCTATATGTAATATGTATTATTCTCTTTTTGTCCCAAGTGTGTTGGGCCTTGGTATTTTTTCTTATTTTAATTTTTTATAATGTGGTGACTAAAACTGGATGCAGTATGCCAGGTGTGGTGTTACTAAGGCTTTGTAAAGCGATACTAATACTTCCTGTGATCTTGCTTCTGTCTCTTTGTTAATGCATCCTAGAATTGTATTGGATTTTTTGGCTGCTGTGACACAATGGTGGCTCATATTTAAATGATTGTCTACTAGGACTCCATGATCCCTCTCACAGTTACTGCTATTGAGCCAGATTTAACATAATCTATACCTGTACTTTTGGTTTTTCTTTCCCAAGTGTAAGACCTTACTTTGCTCTACACTGAATTTCATTTTGTTGGCTATTTATATTGGTTTCTAAGGTAGTTATCAAAATTTTTAATCATTTGAAAAATTGCAGGTCATATTAATCAATTTCTGTGATCACAACCATGTGTGATAGTGGTGGTATATACATATAGATTCATCTGATTTGTGGGATGTAAGTTATATAAAGCCCTTATGCAATGAATTAATTGACTGTTGTACCACTATAATGGTATCCATCTGTGACAGGGATTTTTCCCTCTCCTTCCAAGCATTCCTGATTTCCGCTATAGGAGACATGGGCGAAACATTCCGGAGCACATTTGGGGTACCTGCAGGAAAAAAGGAAGTAAAGAGCCAGATCTCACTGGAAATCTCCTTGCATAAAATTCCATGAGGCCAGCCTTTCATGCTGTTAATCTTTCTAAAGCTATTTTTTTTTTAAAGAAAATAGCTGTATGAGCAAGAATATTAGTTTGAAAACAGGTTTTAAATATGAGGTAATCTGTCAGTGACATAAACATTCTAAAAAGAAATTAAATAGAAAGCCTGAAATAAAGTGGTTTTGAGAATCATTTCTGTAAAAAGGAATCATTCTTTAATAAAAAAATAAAAACGAAATTACATTAATTTTTAAAAAGTTGTTGCCATTGGCTTTAAAAAACAAACACAATAACATTATTTTTAAAAATAGTTGCCTCTTGAAATATTATACTGTTCTGCATTTCCAGGTAGGAAATGGGCTTCTTATTTCTGACTAAAATGAGGAAAGAAAAGCGGGTGGTAGGGTATTGCAATGTGACAGACGGATAATGCTCAATAGGCACGAACATTTGTCTTACAGATATTTGAATCATATCTGTGGGATATCTGTCTATATTTTCCAACTGTAACCCTTTTTATGATGTTATTACAATCAAAACACACTATATGGAATAAAATATGAGGTGTTTTATTTTTCTACACCTATACAAAGTATTTGTACCTATCTGTACCTACCTATACAAATGAGTAGCCAACACCCCAGAAGACAGGCTCAAGGTCCAGATGGATCTCAATAGACTAGTTCCCTGGGCCCTATCCAACAATAGAAAAAGTGAGGTTTTACACTTAGGCAAGAAAAATCAAAAGTGCAGGTACAGACTAGGTGAAACCTGGCTCAACACTAATAACAGCAAGAGGGATCTTGGAGTCCTAGTAGGCAACCATCTAAACGTGAGCCAACAGCATGCGGCAGCAACCAAACAAGCCAGGGCAACCCTAGGTTGCATTAACAGAGGGATAGAATCAAGATCACATAAAGCACTAGTACCGTTCTACAAAGCCTTGGTAAGACCACACTTAGAATATTGCATCCAGTTTTGGTCACCCCAGTACAAAAAAGATATTGAGACTTTGGAAAGAGTTCAGAGAAGAGGAGCCTAGAAACTCAAAAGAGTTAAAAAATGATTAGGGGGCCTAGAAACTAAAACATATGAAGAATGATGGCAGGGACTGGGTATACTTAGTCTAGTGAAAAGATGGACCCGGGGGGACATGACAATACTTGGAGAGCTGCCACAAGGAAGAGGGGCCAAATTATTTACCAAAGCACCTGTAAGCAGGACAAGAAACAATGGATGGAAAACTAACCAAGGAGAGATGCAGCCTAGAACTAAGGAGAGAATTCCTAACAGAACAATTAACCAGTGGAACAAATTGCCTTTGGAAGTTGTGCGTGCTTCATTACTGGATGCTTTTAAGGAGAGATTGGATAGCCATTTATCAGAAATAGTATAGGTCTCCTACAAGAGCAGGGGGTTGGATTAGATGTCCTCCAAGGTCCCTTCCTACTCTGTTACTGTTACTGATTTCCCTCAAAACTATCTGTGAGAGATTTCATGTAATCCTTAAATAGGTAACCAGCCATTTTACTTTATCCACCAATTCTTCCATACCAAATTCAGTGTTTGCAGTGGATGGTCCATCATAACTACACACCGGAGTTAAGCATCCCAGAAATAATGACATAGTGATATTTTTCTTGTTTTAAAGTTGGAAATTGGTATGCATTGGCCCTTTTCATCTTTTTTTTTCTGAGAATAGGCATGCTATTGAACCCAATCTCTTTGCTGGAACGTATCTTTAAACTCTTAAATAGCATGAGAGCCAAATTTATGAAGAAATATTTTCCTCCCTATTTGCCTGTCTGTGCATTAAAATAAACCAGGGAAGCCCTATACTTAGTTCCATTGTCATGAGTTCTGCATTCATGGAGGACAGGGCCTTTTCTGGGAAGCCTGCTGTACAGAGAGCTACAACTAGCATCTGTTGTTTTTTGCTCAAACATTTTAAATTCTTTATAGCTGGATGAAAAATCTTTGGTTTTTGCCTCTGCATTACAATATATTGTGATCAGTAAAGCTTGATCCAATACTTCAGTATTAAATTACTGTAAATTACATAAAATATTATTTGTTAGATTTCTGTGACTACCTTTGTTTTAAATGTTATTTTAATATCAATTATTGGATTTTTGTTTATCTCCCTGAAATCTACTTTGGATAAAGGCACAGCATGGTGGTAAGTAAAGTGAATAATAGATCTTTTTTTTATTTTTATTTTTCTTCTCAGGCATTGCTAGAAAGATTAGTGCATACTTAAATTGGGTGTTCTTTTTAGTCATTTGCCAGGTCCTTTAAAAAAAGAAAGGAATGTAGCTAAACATAACAAGTCCATTCCAGGAAAAAAAATCCAGCTAAGAGATGAGGCATAGGATCTTCTCAAGTGGTATAACAGAAGACTTTTACAAATTCAATTCAATTACAGAATTTTAATTAGTTAAACTGATGTGTTGCGACATTTTCTGGGCCATTCATATAAGGCAAAACTGAACCAGCAGAATCTTTAACTGGACTGTTTGAAATGTGAGATTTCCTTTAATTCGGTTTAATTATTGACTAAAAAAAAATCTATTAATTTTTAGCTAAGCAGTATTTGGCTCTCAGCTGCTCATTGGCTATAGCATGGTTTAGATCAGTAATAGCAATTGAGAAACAGAATCAAACTTTATTTTACTACCCAAGAACACTAAAGAATTCAGCCTCAAACATTTGAGCCTATACATTTTTCTTTCAGACTGAACTATGAAAGGGTTGGCCATAAAGCAAAATTTCTTAATTTAGGTCAAGACCCATGGCCAAATGATCTAAGAGCAAAGAAAGTGATTTCTACACCAAAATATATAGTGAGTTTGAACAGTTCTGCCACAAAGGAGAAATATAAACTTAATGACTTTATCATGTTACCTTATAGTCTTTGTGATTGGAAATACAAACGCAAATAATGGAGTTAAGTTGAATTGCCAGCAGGTTTTGATTAGTGTAGTTAATGAATCTCCCAAAATGGTTGCATTATTTGAATTTGCATTATTCATAGTGATACTTCTATGGAAAATATCGTAATTGGTTCCAGTTCAACATAAAAAGGAAATGAACATTTTAAAACATAAATTGTTATATGGATATTAATGAAACATTGTAGTAAAGGATGAAAAGAATATACTTATAATTTAAATGCATGGTTAACTAAATCAGAGCGTAGTTATAGAAAAGAAAAGAAAAGAAATTCAGGCATTCCAACATCTTGTCCTATTTTAAGGTTGCTATAACCCTGTTCATATTGGTCAATTATATCAAATTTTTGCTCTAATGTAATAACGAGCCTCTTCTTTTTTAAACTTACACAGTTTTCCTCTGAAGATCCCCTAAATCTTCCTTTTCATCATTTTGTGCACACTCAAATTGCACACTCATTTAGCAGAGTCTAAAATTGCAACTGCTAGCCTCAATTCTGCACAAGTTAATCTTACATTAATTGAATTTGAGGTTGCACTAAAGGCGACCTGGTTTCAGTTTTCAAATTCACGCTAACTCAAATATTGCATTCAAATGTGCACTAACCATGATCTACCTGTGACAAAGTTTTGTTTTATTTTTATTTTATTTTATTCCACTTTGACATCATCTGACGCCAAACAACTTTGGGTGATTCACAGCAAATCTAGCATCAATCTAGCATCAATCTAGCAGGGCACACCAACCCTGCTAGATTGAATTGGCCAGGCTGATAACGTAGGAAATGGCTCCTCAAGTAACCAGCGCCTATGCCATGTAGGACTTTACAGACCACAATCAGAAGGGTCAATAAAAAAGCAGAGAGAGAGAGAGAGAGAGAGAGAGAAATGAGATGAGTTTTTAGTCATCAGATTTCCAATATACCAGGTTTCTAGTACCCACAAAGAATTGGAAAAGAGTCCAGAAGCTTGGTCAAGAGTCAAATCTCCCATTCCAGCCCTGCTTTACCAGGCAGAGCCCAATCATCCCATTGATCAGCTATCTTAGTGTTAGGTTTTGACAGATGGCTAAATCCATAGATCCAGCCATCTGTCAAAGCGTGCATCCTCCCCCATCCCCATCCTATGTTAAGAAGTGATTGGGGAGGGGAACCAGGGGGAATCAACTAATCCCTTTCTATAGCTTGACTTACACACAGTGGATAAGGAGATGAAGAGAACTGGGACACAATCCTGAACTCGTGTCCCTGTTCAAAGAATAGGTAGCAGCCATGATAAGAGGGCTTTTGCAGAACATTTTGTGCACCAGTTCCACTCCTTTCTGGACTGGGGAGCATTGCTCAGAGCGAGTCACGCCTTATTCACCTCCTGAGTCAAATGGTGCAATATGCTCCACATAGCGTTATTCTTGAAGACCATCCAGAAACTGCAACTTGTTCAAAATGTGACACTATAGGAAGCTATTACCCCCATGTTATACCTTTGCTCTGTGAGATGCAGTGGCTTCCATTTTGCTTCTGGATGGATTTCAAGTTGCTGGCTTTCCCTTTAAAGCTCTTCTTTCCATGGGGCCAGGTTACACGAGTGCCTCTTTTAAATTGTTTCTACGTATCCCACCATGTTTGATAGGAGGGCTTGCTCCACCTAATGGGACAGAGGGAGCAGGTCTTTTCTGTCACAACATCTGAACTCTGGTTCATTGTACCTCTCAAGATGAGATTGGCCCTGACTCTGATGATTTTTCATAAAATACTGAAGACGTGGATGTGCTCCAGAGTATGAAGTTTTGGGGTCAGTTGGCCTGTCCCCAGGGATCGTTTTGCTGATTGCTTTGGGTTTGTTCTTGATGTAGATTCATTATGTTTCATGGATATTTTAAAACATTGTTTTTAAGGTATCATGAGCTGTCCAGAATCTCATCTGTGACATGGGCAGCTATATAAATCAAATAAATAAATAAATGTTGAAAGTGTTGTTGTCACAGAATAACATAGTCATTGTGGATAGGTAATGGGATCAGTAAATATTAAGCTAAAGAAGCTTTATATCAGAAAGGATGCTTGGAAGAGCTCAATGAGATGTGTACAACTATGCGTACAACTATGCGTACAACTATGGCTTTTTCTGTGGTATTCTCAAAGCTGTTAATGCATCTTTATCATCCAGTTACCGTATTTTCTGGTGTATAAGGCGACCCGGTGTATAAGAGACCCCTGACTTCGGCACCGATTTCCATGCCTAGAAAGTCTTATCCGCCAGAACCTACTGTAATTTCCAGCGTATAAGATGACTCGGCATATAAGATGACCCCTGACTTCAGCACCGATTTCCACGCTTTAGAAAGTTGTCTTATATGCCGGAAAATACGGTATTTACTACATTAGTGGGGGGAGGGTTGTTGTTAACTGAAAATGATAGCATGATGAAGACAGTCGCCTTGTGGTAAGATGAGTGGCAAACAATTTTAATAAATGAAGAAAATAAATAAGCCATCAGCAGCAATTACATAGTTCTTACAACAGACCTTGTCCTACTTTAGCATAACATTTATCATTATAGCTGAGTATCAAAAAACATAACTATTGATCTTTGTTAGAAGAAATCAGTGGCATTTCTTTTTAATATCCTCAGGTCTCTCAGGAATGTTATTTTCCCAGTTTTATGAAATTTAATTTAAATTCTCTGTAAGGGTCCTGAAAAGCCATCCTTAACTGAGCGTAAATAAGATCTGCAAGGAATTACT